GGGGGAGGAAGCACTTGCTCAGCAAGCAGGCAGTCCTGGGGTCCGCACAGTGAGCAGGCGGAAGAGCACACGCTCGTCGTCAGAGACAGAGTTTGAGGCCGCTGGGCCCTATCTCAGAAAACAGAGGTAGAGGCAGAGAGCCAGGGAGTCGGCTCGGAGGTAAAGATGCCTGCGGCCCGGCTGGCTGAGCTCAGGTCCCAGGATCTACATAGTGGAAGGAGAAACTGACTCCCCCGTTACATTTTTAAAAATGCAAACACTTTTTAATCTGTATCTCTTTTGATTGACATTAGTGTTTGTCCTGCTTGTCTGTACATGGACCACATGCTCGCAGGTGCCGAGGGGGTCAGAAGAGGGCACGAGAGCTACTTGGAATTTGTCCCTGATGGTTGTGAGCCGCCATGTAGATCCCTGCAAGAGCGGCCAGTGCTCTTAATCACTGAACCACCTCTCCAGCCACACGTGCGCGCATGCGCGCACACACACACACACACACACACACAGACACACATACACAGACACACACACACAGACACACACATGCACACAGACACACAGACACACACACAGACAGACACAACACACACACACAGACACACGCACGCACACACGAGAGAGAGAGAGAGAGAGAGAGAGAGAGAGAGAGAGAGAGAGAGAGGACACATGTAAAACAAGTGGGAAGAGCAGACACACGGAGGTGGTGGAAGTTGTGTGGCCTGGGACCAGGGGTGTCCTGACCCAGAAAGAGTGTTGGAGCGGGGGGTGTTCAAAGTGCTGCTGGGCTGGGAGTCGGGGGACACACCTTTGACCCCAGCATTCCAAAGGCAGCCAGCTTAGTCTACACAGTGAGTTCCAGGCCCGTCAGGGCTACACAGTGTGACCCTGTCTCAAAAGAAAAATCTAGTGCCGTGGGAGGGAGCCAGCAGGACTTGGCGAGAAGGATCTGGAACAAGGACAGAGGAATAGGGTTGGGACCAGAAGAGCCACACTGGTCCCCAGCAGCTTCACTCATGCATCCTCAGGCCTCAGCGGTCTCTGAGAACACAGCTTGAGGATCGTGGGCGACCCAAAGAGCAGTCCAAGCTAACATTCCTATCTCTTCAGAAGGACGGCCATGGAGTCCCACAGCCTCCCGCCCACATTCCCACCCCCTGGAGGCAGTGGCCGTCCAGCCCGTGTCCCTCCCTCTGCAGGTACAGTGGTTTGAGCAACAGACTCTGAGGCGGCGGGTGAAGCGCTCCCTGGTGGTGCCCACAGACCCCTGGTTTTCCAAGCAATGGTACATGGTGAGCGCTTGGGCTGGACTGGGGGGGGGGCAGGGGAGGGCACCAGCCTGAGCACCACTGACCTAGGTTCCTCTTCGTTTGCCATAGAACAATGAGATACAGCCAGATCTCAATATCCTGAAGGTCTGGAACCAGGGACTGACCGGCCGGGGAGTGGTGGTCTCCATCTTGGATGACGGCATTGAGAAGGACCACCCGGACCTCTGGGCTAATTATGTGAGTCCTTGGGCTAGAGTTCAGAGGTTAGAGCACTGGCTGCTCTTCCAGAGGTCCTGAGTTCAATTCCCAGCACCCACATGGTGGCTCACAGCCATCTGTGATGAGATCTGGCGCCCTCTTCTGGCCTGCAGGCAAAACACTATGTACATAAATAAATAAGTCTTTTATTTTTTGGGGGGAGGGGGTTGAGGCAGGGTTTCTCTGTGCAGCCCTGGCTGTCCTGGAACTCATTCTGTAGACCACGCTGGCCTCCAACTCACAGAGATCCGCCTGCCTCTGCCTCCCCAGTGTTGGGGTTAAAGGCGCGCACCACCACCGCCCAGCTAAATAAATAAATCTTTTAAAAAAAATTATGTGAGTCCTCCCGGGACCCCCAGTTCCATCCCCTCATCCCTGTCTCTCTTTCCCTGCTCGCCTTCCAGGACCCTCTGGCCAGCTATGACTTCAATGACTATGACCCAGATCCCCAGCCCCGCTACACACCCAGCGATGAGAACCGGTGAGTTGGTGCCGCGGTATCTCCCCGGGCCTGCAGAAATGCCATGCCAAGGTGGGCCGTGACACATGGCTGTCTGCTTTCCCCCTTGCCCGGAAACAGGCATGGGACCCGCTGCGCAGGGGAGGTGTCTGCCACAGCTAACAACGGCTTCTGTGGCGCTGGTGTGGCCTTCAATGCCAGGATTGGAGGTACCAGGGGTGGAGGCCGGGGGACGCTAGGATAAGCTTGACCAGTGGAAGAACGCTACTCCCACCCCCTTCCCGTTCCCACCACTGGGCGGTGCCAGGCCCCAGGCTGAGGGCGACTGAAAGGTGGCGGCGGGGAGGTGGCCGGGAAGGGCAACCAGCGCGGGCGCTGGTGCAAGGCCCACGCCCACCCGCGCAGGCGTGCGCATGTTGGACGGAACCATCACGGACATCGTGGAGGCACAGTCCCTCAGCCTGCAGCCGCAACACATACACATCTACAGCGCCAGCTGGGGGCCCGAGGATGACGGTCGCACGGTGGACGGACCGGGCATACTCACTCGGGAGGCCTTCAGGCGAGGCGTGACCAAGGTGCCCAGGGCGCGCGCGCACCCTGGGCGGAGGGGACCAGGCCCCGAGCCTGGAGGGCTGACCGCGTTCCGGGTCACTCTCCACCCAGGGCCGCCAAGGGCTGGGCACACTGTTCATCTGGGCCTCGGGAAACGGCGGCCTCCACTACGACAACTGCAATTGTGATGGCTACACCAACAGCATCCACACGCTGTCCGTGGGCAGCACCACGCGGCAGGGCCGGGTGCCCTGGTACAGCGAGGCCTGCGCCTCCACCTTCACCACCACCTTCAGCAGCGGGGTGGCCATCGACCCTCAGATCGTGAGCACCCGGCCAGCCCGCCCCGCAGGGACCAGACCCCGCCCCGCAGGGACC